ACCCCGGAAAATTTTGAAAAATGAACCTTCTAAAATGGCATTTCGTGCATTTTTGAGAGGATTTCCAAGAAAAAATCAGAGATAAATTTTTATTCAATGACAAAGGGAGTAGTTTTTCTACGATTCCAGTCCATCTTTTCAAGAAAAATCTTGGACCTTTACATAAAAAGTGGACCAAAAAGTGGACCTTCACATAAAAAGTGGACCTTTACATAAAAAGTGGACCTTTGAGCCTTGTGGGGGGGTTCTTCCGAACCCCCGAACCCCCCCTGGCTACGGGCATGATTACAGAAAACCCAAACCAGCGATGTAAGACGTAACGTGATTGGCTGTCGGATTCCCAACGACCTTTGCCCTTAGCTTTCCAGAATTGAAAGCTGTGTCTCTAATTGGCTGACAGCTTGTTATAGGCTTCCTGGGCTGTAGGCTCAAGTCGAATCCAGATTGGCAGGTTTAGAGGAGAGGACACTTCCGGGCCGAGCCACTAACCCTGCTCGGGAGGGTGCAAACTACCAGAATGTAAACACAACATGGCTGACAGCTGTGTTGGATTGATTGAACGTACTACATTAGAAATTTAGAATACCCGGTAATGGCCAGAAAGTTGACTTTGAAGATCCAGTTTTGCTGCCGTGGGAATTGCATTGGATGCCTGTAAGTACCGGGATGTATTTTGTGTTGTAGGTTCTGCCAGACCCTTGAGCAGGCCTGTATTGACACAGTGGACTCTGGGAAGATGACCAAGGACTTGGCTGGATGTGTCTACGGAGGCATGGCCAAGTGAGTTAACTTGACATATTAAGCACACACGAATAATGACATAATGACAGAAGTAGATAAAGATGTTCTAGCTATAGCCCGTATCCATTTTCCCATCATTTGACAGAATTTTGACAGACAAAAATTTTGCCCAATCTGTCATCTTTGGTGGACAAAAATCAACATGTTAACATATGGAAGAGAGGCCTTGTCTACCAGCAAAATTTGTCCCGCAAAATGCATTTAATAGCATTTCATGATTAAGATAGCCCACGAACCCTGATTATCATGCCTCCAGTGCTTAAAATGATGTTACCGGTACAACGAACAAAATTGAGATGATGAAAAAAAAAAATCAGCATTGGATTAACAATTAGCTATAGTAATATCATAACAGTGTTGCAAGAAAAACAAGGGTAACGTAGGTAAATATTTGGTGACTGACTTGTTCCTGAGTGAAGAGACTCTTTTTACACAACGCATTGCAGCACAGGTGTCGCTGCTACAGATGCATTCCCAAATGTACAATATTTACATATCTACACACATATGCGTTATGAACCAGTCAGAATTGCCCTGAGGAAGGTGACAGACAGTCACCGAAACGTCGGCTGAATAAAAGACTTGGTTGTGTAAAAAGAGTCTCTTTACTCAGTGTCTTACCAACCTGATGAAACTATTGACGGATCTGACTTGTTTCTGTTTCACCTCGTCCCTGCAGTGTAAAGCCAGGCCAGTACCTGTACACCATGGACTTCCTGGAGGCTATAGAGGAAGAACTGAAGAGGAAGATGGGCAACTAGTGTGAACCAAACAGTGCTTCATGTGGAACAGTTCATGTCACAAGGGACTGTTGTCCCGAACCATGTGTGTTGTATGCAGTGTATACTATATTGGTAGAACTCCAAATAAAAGTTCTGTACCGTGTACCGCCTCAATTAAATTAGCAAAAACCCGAAAAACACATGAAAGTAAAGCAATAGAGAAGAAAAAAAATTGCTGTTGATACTAAATTATTGCCTCACTTCTTTATCACCAAAGTTGCCATGTCAGAGTGTACAAGAAGAAATTGTGGAGATAAAAAAAACTTGTAGTGCTAAACCTAGGAGTGCGAAAAAGATTGCTGTGAAAATTCTAAATACTGTATGTGGTTTGTTGATTGTGTGTATGTTACACATGTGCCAGTACTAGTCTATATTCCAACTGCCTGAACAGTAAAAGTTACCCCAACTGATACTTGTTTAGTCTGGCTAGTCCTACTTCTAGGATTTAACTATAAAAAAAAACCTCAGCACCCCAATCATCAGCACCCCAAAACCTCATCACCCCAATCATCAGCACCCCAAACCTCAGCACCCAAAACCTCAGCACCCCAAACCTCAGCACCCCAAACCTCAGCACCCAAAACCTCAGCACCCCAAACCTCAGCATCTACCATGGCTTTGCAAGAAAGAAGTTATCAGCATGCTTAAAATTGGTCTGCATGGTAGTCATGAGTGGAATTGTCACCTTTAAAATTTCACTAACCTGCCATAGTAGCGAATGGTAATCGTGATAACTTAGTCCTTCCACCCCTATAATTGAATCTGTTAAACCCCACCGAGCCCTTACATGGTTTCCTGCATGCACAGAGCATTAGCTGTCATGACCAGAATGAAACAATACTCTCTTGGTGTGAGCTCGTCCCCAGCACTTGTTCTTGTATGAAAAGTGAGGAATGAAATGCCCGACCACCTCCAAACCCGTCCACTCTGTTTGTGTTGTTTTGTGCCACATGACTTGTTTGCCCAATAAAGGAGTCTTGAGTGTGCATCTTTGTTTGAAGCCGTCATTCTTGCTAGTTGCTACATTTGGGGAGCGGATCTTGGGTAGCGGACGAAAGCTAACAAGGCTGACACTCAGGCTACTTGCTACATAAAACCGCATGTACATGTGCAAGTAAGGCCACACCAATTTAATTTGTTGGTTCTTGGATTTTTCCAGAAAAAATATGAAGCGACAGGGAAAAAAAATAATAAAAACACATAGAGGCATCCTATTATAGCCCCAAATGCTACGATAGGAGCCATGAAGTCAACACAAAAGGCTGGGTTTATATTTAAACAACGAATTCTTAACTAAATGTCTTTAATCAAACCATTGCATTGATCGATGGAAAAACTGCAACAAATAGAGGAAGATAGGAAGAAAAGACTAAATTCCTCAACTGTTGGGAGCAAAATATGACAATTTTTTAGTTGATTCAGAAGCAGAATCTTTGTTTCTTTTGCAAATCAGAAAAAAAGTGAAGAGGCGAATCCGAGAGCCAAGAAATAAAATTGGTGTGGCCCAAGAATAGCACTTAAGCCATTTGCAGGCATCCTATGCAATTACATTTTGTAGCAAGTTTGCACAGTAATTTTACTTTTCATTGGGTAAATATTTTGTGATGAATTGTACATTAGGAACAATAAGCCATTATAGGCACACTAGACTCAGACAAGCAAGACAACAATCCATCTGAAGGCAGAAATTGCATACATCTTTATTCAAAGTGCTTACGGAATGACTATTCTTGGAAACCTTTTAGACCTTCAGCTGCCCCCTCACAAAAGTGCACTCAAAAACAACATTTTCTTGGTCCACCAAGCAGCATTTGAATCCATCTGCCTGCCTCTGACTACATGTATCTACAATTTCATTCTGAAATGTGTGAATAGCACCACAATGGATTATTTTAGAAGACCATAGCAAAGACTCCTTTCCACTTTATGATCAAAAGCATCTATCTATGAGTTTCATAGAATGGTCAAGTGAATGATGATATGACTAGAGAGTGGACTTAAAAGACTGATTCTCATTCAACCTACAATAGGTTATAGTTTAAGCACCCTTATTTGCATACATACAAATAGCATCTACTGAGGATTGTTACAAGACTCGAAAAGGAACTTTTCCAAACATTTGTTAGGTTTTCTACCTTGGAAGCCAGATGTGCAAATACTAGTAACTAATATAATCGCGTGATTCAATGCCCTACCATTCTACTGACAACACTTAGCAGCTGATTTAAACATATATCATAGACAAGCTACGTGATTGTATATTCAGTAAAACAAACTGGCCTTTTCTTGTAGGAACAATGGCCTTACGTTGTGTCACTAAGGTGGATAATGATCATAGCTTTATACACAATGGTATGATGCACAGTGTTCATTATCAAGTAGGCTTCATGTACATGAATTTCCAAGGAAGGTACATCACAGTTGATTCCTCAAAACTTATTGCCATTTTCTATATCAACAATACAAGAAATAACTAACTCACCTGGTAGTACAAACTCAGTTTGTTGGCTTATACAATACGTAAACATTTTATGCCTTTAAGAGGGTATAAAAAATTGCATATTTTTGTCTTTTTTTTTCAAATCACTTTTTTTCAGCAGTGTACAAAATGATTGGAATAAAGTAAAGTAAATATGACAAAGGTTTAGTCCAGGAATTTTGTATGCCCGGTACTGCATTTCTTTTGGTTACATCTGACACCAGCTAATACAGCCCAGCATTTTCAGTTAGAAATATACATTGTATACTCTGGACTTTGAACACTTGGTTCTCTTCTCAATGCTTCATTTCAAAAATTACCCCCATGATGAGAATGATAGGCTTTGGCAAGATAGGGTGGACAAAGATGTTTATTTTCTTGTCTGCCAAGCAGAAGGATTTACAAGTGGCACAGAAATAGATGCCCTACTATGTGAACATGTACATTATTGCAGGATGAGTACTGTGACCCTCATGAACAAAGGTTTTTCACGTTCCAACTCCTCTACAGCTTCGTTCTCTTCTTTCGTTTGGCCATCGATGTACTCGGCGATCTGTAGGTTGTAAACCCCCGGCGTATCCAGCTCTTTGGCAAACTGCAAGGAGCTGATTTTATGACCCTCCACTATCGTGAACAGCCCTTCACTGTTCCCGTCTACAATCTTGTAGTGGGCTCGGCCTAACAGGTAGTCTAAGGCGGGCTGGATCTTCAATAACCGCCTCTTCGGGTGGGCGTTGTGCAGCTTGACACGGAGTGCTATGGGAGTTTGGACTCCATCCACAACCTTTTTGGTCTCGGCTTCCTCCAGCACAGCGTCTTTGTTGGTTTCCACATTGTTCACGTCCTTCGCAGGCTGGTCTTCAACGATCATGTTCTTATCTGGCTCCTCTGTGTCAGGAGACTCTGTAGCCTCCTCACTGTCATCACCATCGTCGACAACAATCTCTTCCGAGCCGTTGATCGCTCGCTTTCTTCTCTGATGCTCCACGTTGTTGAGGTTGCACTCGTAGCAAGTGTCCTTCCCACTGTTGTCTATACTCTTGCCAGGCCCACCGATAGGACCAATCCCCAGAGTGGACACACAGTGCCTGAAAAACAGTGTATGACCATGTAAATTGAAGGAATAACATTTACAAAATCCTTATGTAACTATGGTATGATAATCTAGACCTGTCCTTGGTGCTGAATGATTACTACTAAAGCCCAACAACATGTATGATAGTGTAGACCTGTCCTTGGTGCTGAATGATTACTACTAAAGCCCACCACTATGTATGATAGTGTAGACCTGTCCTTGGTACTGAATGATTACTACTAAAGCCCACCACTATGTATGATAGTGTAGACCTGTCCTTGGTACTGAATGGTTACTACTAAAGCCCACGCTATGTATGATAGTGTAGACCTGTCCTTGGTACTGAATGATTACTACTAAAGCCCACCACTATGTATGATAGTGTAGACCTGTCCTTGGTGCTGAATGGTTACTACTAAAACCCACCACTATGTATGATAGTGTAGGCCTGTCCTTGATGCTGGTAAGTGCACAGTGTTCTGTATTTAACACATGGCAGTATGCAATGCTGGCTAATGCTTGCAATGTTAGTGCTAGCAGCCTGCATTTTGTAGAGAAATTTTCAATATTGCAGCCTGGAAAAACTTGGCCTAGGAGTTAAACTGTGTCGGTATTTTTTAAGAGCTTTTGTGTTTGCTACTGACTTTATGACATAATAATTATGTTTACCGAAGGAAAACATATTGTTTTTTCTACGTTTCTTCTTCTCCAGGGACTTCTGAGCTGACTGAACCAGACTGTCTCTCACCATAGTAACTGGTGTTGGGTTACATAATGTTGCAATTTTATTGTAGGAGGGATTTAGACTTCTGTCACCATATATGTGAATGTGTTTGAGTATGAATTAACAGAGCAGACCATATACGAAGGTCAGAACATTATGCATTTACTTTGCAAATGTTCCTTTCTAGTTATGCATCTCTTTTTCAAATTTCATGTAAAATGTTTGCCCAAGTGCGATTTGTCTGCAATATGAGGGCATATTTGCAGAAAGTATTTCTGCAGAACAATATGTTGACATTCTGCAATATTGAAGAACACTGAAAAAAAGTATGCTGCATGTTGTTTACGGCCTACCGGTATTTCTCTGCCGATCGTGAAGTAAACCTCACTCACCCCTGTCCGATACGGAAGTACCCTGGTGGACAGCCACAGCTGTACCCTCCGTCAGTGTTGGAACAGCCAAAGGAGCAGGGGTTGCTGGGAGAACCACACTCGTTGATATCTACATTGTTCAAGGCAGAAGAAACAAGTATCAACACAGAGGAGAGCATTTTGTTCTAACTCTGCTCAAGCAAATGCGGGATGCCAACCGCCCTTTGCATTCTTTGATGCCCTACGACAGACACCAGACCACACGGCGGTCCCTGAGAAATGGAAACCACATCTCCATACCGAAGTTCAGAACTGAAAGACTGAGGAAATCTTTTCCGTTTCAGGCAATAAGCCTCAGTAACCAACATTTGTAAACAGTAGTCCGCCTCTGTTTTAATATGGACCTGACCTACAGAATTTTAAATCTATTTAATTTCAATCGTCAATGTTGTACTTTTTAATGTATCTCTTTCAAGTTTTTTAATATGTAATTAGTTGTGCAATTCAGGCAACAATGCATATGGCTGCCAATCAACGTGAATAAACAGTATCGGTATCAGTAGTATATGTGATGATGGTATCACAACAAGAAAGCCCCATAATATTGCATACTTTAGATCACTTCAGGCTTCCACAGAGGCAGATCCAAAACCATCTGGAGAAGAACTGTCACAGTGACAGATGACCTGACGGGACTGTCCTAGCGATTAGCAAAGAAGGTGGCCAAGGACTGATCCACAAGGAAGAAAATAGTCATGGCCTTATGTCTCACAAGAGATGAAGAGGATACTAGTAAGTATTAAGTAAGTAAGTAAATCACTTTATGTTCAGGCTTCCGGAAATGTTGATGGAACTATACGTTTGCAGTGGTGGTAGGTGCAGCAAAAAAACAGTTTATTGGTCACGATAATGAAAAGTTTGCATTTCAGAAGTGACCATGATAACCACAAACAAATTGTGATTTACATTAAGATATTCTCTACTGATTGTATACAAAAGAGGCCTTATTGAGCTTTAGTACCAAATTAAACAAGTATGTGGTAGATGCACACTATGCTGTAGTCTCCACCAGACTTCTTTTGCGGGGTGAATAAATCGTAGAAATCGGCCTAAAAAGGGTATTAATTGGCCAGAGAAGGTAGCCAGGCCAGAGAAGCTCCATTTCCCCTCCGATAGAGCTTCTTAAGCCCGCTACCTTCTCTGGCCAATTAATACCCTTTTTAGGCTGATTTCTACGATTTATTCACCCCGCAAAAGAAGTCTGGTGGAGACTAACTATGCTGGTTGCAAATCCAATAGTGTTGCTTGTCCATGATGATGTTTTAAGACTATGGCATGGGATATTGTAAAGAGGGTCTGTCACTGACCTCTGCAGCCTCCCGATGCCTGGTCAAAGTTGTAGCCAGACGGACAGGCACACTTGAAGCTGCCCACGGTGTTGTAACAGGTGGCCCCTCCACAGGTGTTCCCATTCACACACTCATTGTCATCTGGAATAAAACAACATTTCACAGGATATCTGTATCGGTATAGCCGGTATAACCACCCTTCGGCGTAACACACCGGCTTACATGCTGCTTATGTCACTACAGTAATCCTCATTCATACTATTCAGTTCTGTAAAGGACTTGATGGCAGTGTTCTAGCCAGCATCCATCTTTCCGTCATTAGACAGAAGTTTGCTGCTCATGATGGACAAAAATTTTGCCAAAATCTTTGGCATCCTTAAATCAGCATGTAAAAAGCATATACAAAGAGATGTCATAAGTAAGAGTAAACTTAGTTTACTAGCAAAATTTGCCCTGCAAAATGCAGGAAATAGCATTTTAGGGGGTCAACAAGATTAAGGAATAGAATTCTCAAACACAAGGGTATCAAAATAAAGAGAATAAAGAGAACAGAAAATGAGGTATAGTAGGGCATTCGGCCTGGAACCCATGGGTCCTGGGTACATGTACTACATGCTTCGACATTGTGCTCTTAGGAGAGGGCCTGCAGGGGGGGTCCCGACAACGCTCTACACTAAATTCGGAAACCTCTCAATTACGCTTTACGATAAATCCCAAGTGGCTACAACGCATTATGTAGAATTAAAACGCTGAATACGCTCTACACAAGAATATTAGTAAGAGCGGTCCGTCTACGCTCTACGTAGAATTAAAACAGCCGATTACGCTCTACGGAAAAGGGTTTGCGGGCCCAGCTTGTTCCTGTGGTCACCCATGTGAAAACATTTGTCACTTTTTGTAACACTGCCCTAACTACACTCAACAACAAAATATCCTTTTTGGCAACTTGAAAACACTGGTTGGTTCTATTACTTTGGATAATCTTTCTGATGGTATTCTGCTACATTTTCTTTTAAATGGTTCTTCTTTTCTCTCAACAACCTACAATATTCAAATATTACAACATGTCCAGGTATTTTTGATGGAATCAAACCGTTTTTTGTAACATGGTTTATTGATCAATCCTGTCAGCATTTATATATATCAGTTTCACTTGTTCATTGATTTATCATTGTATTCAATTTCAATATGTTATCTGTGCTTTGCTTGTCGTATGTATTATGTATTGTTTGGTGGCGACATGAATATAAGTGTATCTTGAGTGTGTCGCCACCGCGTCTTGTCATTATATGTTTCAATAAAAAAAAATGAACAACTCTCACCGACACACTGGTTCCAGTAGTAGTGTTGTACGAATCCGGGCGGGCAGCCACAGCGGAAGCCACCGACGGTGTTCTGGCACCCAGACTGGCACCTGTGGGTCCCATCGCACTCGTTCACGTCTGAAATAGACAGGTTCAGGGTCATACAAAACATTCAAAGGGGAGAGGAAGGCTGAAAGGATGTGTTGCACCAGGGCTCTAGCCAGTGCAATTTTTTCCCCCTCAGGCCACACCAATTTAATTTCTTGGTTAACGGATTTTTCTGATAAAATAATGGAGCGGGCGGGCGAAAAATGGATGCCTAGCATAGGCATCCTATTATGGCCCAAAATGGTACGATAGGAGCCATGAAGTCAACACACCAGGCTGGTTCAAAATTTAAACAATGAATTTTGAACTTTTAATGATACCATTGCATTGAAAGATGGAATAACTGTAACAACTAGGAAGAAAAGGACTGTTTTCAACTGTTCAGGGCAAAATATGAGCATTTTGCAGTTGATTCTGAATTTTTATTTTTATTTGCAAATCAGAAAAAAATGAAGTGGGTGAATCCGTTAACCAAGAAATTAAATTGGTGTGGCCTCAGTCCAAGTT